GGAAACCTATTTGAAAAGAAGACAGGAAATTGTCTGGAAGCATGAAAAGCCTCCACTCAGATGTAGGTGATGAATACTACACTGTCAGTTTTATTTTGCATGTGATTGCACCGGGGCTTTATCTCCTGAATTGTCTATCCAATCATAAAGGGGTTTAAAGATACGGCTTTGCAGCTACTTTGTCATCGCCAATGCTTCTGCCTCCTCTACTCTGTGAGTGACGTTCTGATAAGCAGGCTACACAGGCTACTTTAGGGTGAAGTTAGGCGCAGCTGTAGCGGTGACGGCGGTACAAATTACCGGGGTGAGGATTGGTTACTCAGCGCGGTCGTGACGTGAGGATTTGACCCCAATCTCGCCAAGGTCGTCCTGCCCACGCGCAGTATTGACCTAACCAGTAACATTTTAGATAACAAACTGTTCCGCTAATTCTTACCTCTCCAAATGCCCTCTCAATACAATCCATCTTACTCCAATGTTCTCTCAACTAGGACTGTCTCGTGGTTTTGAGTAGTCGTGAAACTCTCTCGTAGTTTTGAGTAGTTCACATTTTCATGGATCTACAAGCCTGGAGCTACTTTACTTTGCTTTCAACTACATTTTTCTGGAAAATGTTGACACGAAATCATATTGTACATGAAAAAATATTACCTTTACACAGTGCCGGAGGTCTTTTAATGAATGTTTCATCCTTCATATATTTTTGATCAAGCTGAGTTGCTGTCTTGCAAGTTTCATGCAGAGTTTTTAAACCAGAGTACTACTAATTGAAATACTTACCGCATGTACGAGGACGGAAAATGTCATATGGGCGCTCACATACTGTTAGGCCATGTTGATTTGATTATATGGATGACATCCGCGCGCGCATCAATTTTCGGCCGTTTCCAAAAAAAAAAAGTTTTCAACCATGCTGTAAATAGTACAAAACAGTTGCAAAATGAGCAAATATATACTGTAAGTTGCACAAAAAATATTGGAAAACAATAACAATGTCGTAGAATGTCAAAATCAAACGAAAAAGACGAAAATGTAAAGAAATGAATTTGAAGAGTAGATTATTCGCCATACTACATCATTTGTTCAACCTTCATGAACACGTAGATTTCATAATGAAAGCAACTTTTTTTTTGCAAAACTTTTATTTTATTCGCACGCTCGCATCAGTTTTGGGGTTCCCAGAGGATGTCATCCATATAATCAAATCAACATGGCCTTATGTCGTGATGTTCTCCTGCTAGGACAAGGCGCCAGACTTGTGTACGCTCCAGTCGGTACTATAAATCACACTACAGTAGAGTTTAGACTTTATGGCCCGGCTGCTGAAGGAAACTTGCTAAGTACCTAATACACCCTGCAGCTCGCATATTGCTCGTGCCTGAGCCACTTAACGTCCGGCAAATGGGTCGTTAAAGTTTGGATGCCAATTTTGGGTGAGCCGTCTTTCTATACAGTCATTCTTGTATTCATTTATTGTGCGTAATGGGCGAGCGGATCAGGTGAAGAATGACTCGGAGTTATAATTTTTAGCAGAATTTTGAGGATAAAAATAGCAAAAAATCGATAACTGAGAACGTGAACATGAGCACGCTGTGTATCGTAAGTTATTGCTTTTTTGTCCTGGCGATATGATATTTTTCATATAGCTACATATTGCCTTTCTGTCCTGGCTCCATAATATTTGTCATGTAACTATATATTGTATTCCGTCCTGATTCTATAGAACATATCATATAGCTATATGTCACTAACATTTACAACATTTTACAATCTGTACCGGCTTTCAATTAGTAAATTTCCTTTCGTTCAGTACCTTTCAATTACCTTTACCTAAAAGGGTTCTAATCCACTCCAAAATGTACAACACACTTAGGCCAATTACCGATAAATTGGCACAGACGTATAATATATGTATGCTGGTGCGCCTGTGTCTAATTGTTTCTGACAAGCTTTTCAGCATGAGTAAACGTTTATTTATATTATGGTACTCGAGGGTGTTCTAAATGGATAGATGGCAATATGTTGCTTCACGCCTCTCAATCTTCATTACGGGTGTAATTGGACCATACGAAGTTGAGCCGCCATGCCGGAATCCCCGGAGCCCTGATGAGATATGACGTGGCTGAGGAAGGGCGTCTACCAGCGTTTCATGTACCTACTGGATAGAAATCTGGTTACTGCAACTAAACTGGCGCTGGGGGATCGCAAAGTCAGGGTTGAGAGAAGGGGCGCTTTGATGTGCTACACATTTGTTGATTACGCCACGTCATATTTTACCCATAATTGTAAAAATACCTACATAAAACTGGAAAATGGGCAACATCTGTGAAATTGTGTTGCGTGATAAAAGCTCACATGTTGGGATCGATTTTTATTGTTTGCTGGCTCCTATTGGACACTGGTGCAATAATCATCTTGTTCAATCAGCCTGTCTTTACGCTACAACCGCCGGCCGGTCGATAGATCACTTCGGTCAAGGGCGGTGCTCACTAATACTGGTCGTAACAATCACTATGGATTCGGTTCATGGGGAATACATATATTTCAAGAGATGAAGTTCTAGGTGCTTTGCTTTAAGTCATAAACGTGTTGTGCTTACATTTTTGTCCCATATATTCGCCTACCATGTAATTTATTTAGGGCATGGTCACATTTCCAAGCCGGGGCCCGGCCAGGTTGTTTGCGTGAACAAAAAATAAACAATTTGTATTAAGAGTTTACACAAATAGTGCTCATGGTTAATTTTGTAAACCTTTTATTGTGCTTTGCTCTCTTATATCATAATTTTCGTTCCAAACGACTGTCCGGTCGGGCCCCGGCGGGTTTAGAAATGTGACCGCGCCTTTAATGCTTAGGTCACATTTGAAACGGCGCCCGTTCGGCATGTCCTCGGTGTAGACGCCGGCCGGCGTCATGACGCCGAGCGTGCGCCGTACTGTCAGGGTCACAATTAAATGTTCCTTTACGGCTCCCTGTCGGGGCCTGCTTGTGCCGGCGGCTCTCATTAATATTCATAAACTTTTGCGGCCGGTTTCTGTCAGGGACCCGTCCGGTGCCCGGTCAGTCGCCCGTCTTGACCCGTGCGGCGTGTGGTAGGGTGTCGACCGGCTCTTACAGTTCGGCCGGGCAGCTGTCAGGTCCCTGGCGGGTTCCTGGCGGGATCCCGACGGGCTCCTCTCGTGTTTTTGAGCAGGTACATATATAAGCGCTGCACTGCCTGCTACCGTTCACTTCAAGTAAAGAGTACACGTCAAGTAAAGAGTAGACTGAAGTTGGCGATGCAGCGTTCAGTGCAACCTGCAAACAACTTACAAGCCCGTCTGAGATTGAGATTGGTGACAACCTACAAGTAGGTCTTCTGGCATTGGTAGCTGAAGAAGAGAGGCAGGCAGAACTGGTGCGTCGCAAAAGTAACCGAGGGCCTACTTTCGAAAGTACTTCAACAGTGACGCAGGAAGTGTGCCGTGGCAGCTCCTTGCTATTGAGCAATAAAACCACTGAATATCGTTACTTCTGTTGAAATTTGGACTGAAAATAAATGCCAATAACTTCTGATTCCATTTTATTACGAAGGCATATGATGTAACAAGAGATAATGTCAGACACATTCTATTCCTGTTATGATCTGTTTTATGAAGCTGGCAAGAGAGCCGTGCCGGCTGTTTTCCCTTGCCCTTCGACATTCTGACACACAAATACAAGGTGTAACACACACAAGTACACGATGTAACACACACGTGGTGAACTGTGCGACGTAGTCTGAGGCAGGAGTTTATATATGCTCCCTATAGCCCCCTTTTCCTGACCATCTGATGCACTGATCAGCACATGTGACGTCATAATCTTAGGCAGGTGCCTGTTCGGCCGCCCGACGGGTCCCGGGCAGTGAGGTTACGGCGTCGCTTCGGCGTATTTCGCCGAACGGGGCCCGAAGTGTTTTAACTCTGAGTTAAAATCGATTCGGCGACCGCGCGGGGCCAAAAATAGGCCGGCAGCCGTCGGGAAGCCCGCCGGTCTCCGTCCAGGTCCCGTTCGGTAGTGCCAAAAAACACGCCGAACACGCGCCGAGCGGGCCCCTTTCTTGAATTGTGACCTAAGCATAAGGCGCGCATGCTATGTACCTAAAATTATCATGGAAGAAACTCTTATACCATACACACGGTATTTATCAGCAGTCGCCATTGACACAGATTCAGTCCTCATGGATGACATGATTTGTGTGTTTGTGGCATTCTACAGTACCAAAAGGTCAACAATGGTTTAATGTTGCTGGGCCAGTTACAAAAGAGCACAAAGGAAAATCGACAAATCGATATCTAGATAGATCCTGCATCAATCCTATCTGCAATTGGACATACATCTTGATTGTCGCGCTCTAATTATTTTACTGTGATCAGGCAGTCTTTTTAAGCTACCGGTACAGCGATTATTATAATCAATAGATCTTAATGTTGTATAATGGATTTATGCTAAACAGGCAAGCTTTGTGTACCACTGAGCATATCTATAACCTGTCATCGTAACTTTGATCACTGCTTATTTCAGATCTAACATTTTACGACGATTTATAAGTTTTAACCATGAAACTATCTTTACAACCGTTACAATCTTATAATCCGCTTTCAAAGCCCCTTTGACCCGATAGTACAAAACCTGAATTGTGGCAGTTAACGTGCGCTTTGTGTAAAACAGTTCAGGGTTTGAAAGGTAAAGTATCGCCCTGTCCATTAATGATACACTCACAGTCACCTAGTAATTGACTCCATTGGCCCGCTTTTACCTTGGCCTTGGCACCATCGATTCTAACATCAATAAGAGTGACTGAGGAACAGTGAGATTACTAAGGCGAATCCACGGGGATGCAGCTGCAATAGATATTCCGATAGCTTAAATGGGTTAATATACAAGTGACCTTCAATAACAAGACGTTCTAATGAAGATATGTGTTGAGCTCTATTTTAGATATTGAACCGACCTGTCTCTCTGTTGCAGATGAATGTGATTCACATTTGACGCAGACACAAGGCTGCTCCACTGTCCAACTATGACAAACCACCTCGGGCTCTTCCTGAGCGTCATCGTGCACTTGGCGTGCTCTACTCTCTGTGTGGAGGGCAGGGGACGAGGTACGGAGTTCATGTTTGCTGTTTTACGAGCACAATCATCCAGAAACATAACTACTTCGTACCAGAGCACAAACATAACTACTGCACTATGTGACACACACAAAATGAATGTTTCGTTTGTGTGATTTTCTCCTGTAGGGAACGACAGCCTGCTGTTCCACCATCTGTTCGAGCACTACGACAGCGCGTTACGTCCCGTCAGGGAGCATCAGGACGTCCTGACGGTGGACTTCGGAGTCACGCTCACTCACATCGTGGACATGGTAGTCAACATTTCACATTCCTGTCACATCTTTATACATGCTACATACATGACAGAAAGTCGGTACCATTTCACTAAAGCTGTCTCAAGCCTGTGGTGCCGGGGGGACGCACCAAAGGTCAGCTTCAATGTCGAACCGGATGTTCCCAACACGCTGAAGGATTGGGTGCGGATCCATAGAAGTTTCCTAAGGTTTGGTTAGGATAGCGTTGAGGTGAAATATTATTCCCTCTGTATCACTGTAACTGCAGATGGCGCTGGGCGGACTGATGTCCACGTGATTGATGCGCTACGATGAAAGAAAATCGCTCTAACTTTCCTCAGCGCCTCTCCCGTCAGGCGGAGAGATAGATTGTCAGGTTTACGGCGTGGCGCGGCATCAAAGTTCAACATCGATTCGTTCTGCCCTGCTCGTTTTTTACCTGACAGTCCTCATGTCCCGCTGGTCCGGGGATTACACCTCTCTACTTCAGAGGATGGTACAATTAGATGTCCCGCGTGTAGACTGGCTTCAATTTATCACCTCGCTGCATAGCCAGAAAGAACTAGCCACGACAGAGACTCTAGAAGTACCGAGTGCGCAATGAGAAATTGGAATTAGCTGTAAACAGCTAACAGAAACCTATGATGAAGACAGATAAATGGTGCCCTCAAACTATGAAATGACATGAGAACAAACGACGTAGGCTAGAATCAACAATTCTTATTGCACACGCTCGTGTTTGATACACCTGTACGTCCGATACTTCCGAGTTACCACAGATGTCAAACCTGCAGTACTGGGCTGCATGAACCCTTTAGAAAGAAGACCATAACAATGCAACAATTGTGACGTTTTAAAGTGTCACGGCTACTCAAAGTACAATAAATCCGTTTACCTCAGATACAACAGTACATCATTGTTTCATAAAAAGTAGTCTAATCTCTATCAAACGTTGTAAAACCGAACCCCGGGATGTATGTTTTATACGAGCGGTAAAGACGTGTACGGACGTTCCCCAGATGGCGTGTCAAGACGCATTCTCCGAAGAACCCTTCACGAAAGCAGCCCATAAACGTCTTATTACGTCCCCCCATCTGGAGCCATATCATGGTAATGGAGAAGCCCAGGTGGCTGATAGGTCACGAGGCGAATATCGCGCACAAAGTGATTAAACCACACTTTTGATGAATGGTTTTCTGCATTTGACGACAGTCTGGACAGGGTTGAACCGAGGAATGGCATGAATGTTGTCACGAATTTTTCCCCAATAATGCAGGGGGTAAGGCTAAACTTGTGGCAAGTGTGTATGTGTTTAGGTTCACCTAGGTTCACTTTCCTTACAGCAAACTGGGCCTGATCGATATCACAACGACGTTTCGTCTGGAAGAATAGCGGCATGGATTTACCGCGTTGATTTGAGTTACAACTCGTTTATTTGGAATTGTGTATACTTACGATGTGTGGAGGGTTAATGTGCTGGAAATGCACCTTATCACGTCGGGAAATCAAGCTAAGCACTTTTGGTGGGGCGAATGTTGGGTGATAAAAGTGAAATATGGGCTATGTAGATCCTGGTCTATACTTTCATTACCTGCTGCATTTTTGTATGGTGTCTTTGCACTAGTTTTGAGAACCACGGTCTCTTTATAGTTTGTGCACATTCTGGTCACGCCTGACGAGAATTTACCAGTACTAAACATTAGCTTCCCGGGACCCTATTCTCTTGATTGTTGCTTATATTATATGCCATTTAAGTAATGTGTTTTCACTGTGCCCTATAGGCCTACTCAATAGTCAATGTCAGAGACTGGAAGTTTTATGACCATATCAAATAAATATCCAAAGTGCGGTTCCCTGTTTTATTATTGATATTGCAGAACAGTATATTTGCCGTCGTATATTGCAGATAATGGACATTACGCCGTCTGCTGCTGTCAGATAGGCCAGGATGAAATGCATAGTTTACTGCACAGTGCAGCCTGGAAATTACTGTACCAGCTATCAGCTATGTTTTATGTACACTAAACAATACTGCCTTTTCACACTATAATGAAGGGGGAATTGCATGAGTTATTTTTTTGACAACCTGTAAAGTGTTTATCCTATTCGTGAATTGCCGACTCTGTTCATAGATATTTATTTTGATATTCATCTCTCAAATTTCGTTGCCGTCAGTACAAGCAGGCTAAACACGATTCCACAGTTCCCTTGTGGGATTTTAACATTTTATTCTAAAATGTATTTATATGGAAGGAGTCGAAGCAGATTCCGACGTTTCACATTGACATGAATACTCATCAGCCTGCTTCAAGTTGTTCCGGAAACAAAGGATTGCCAGAAAGTCGTCCCAGGGCAGAGTCGTGCGCTGCAATAACAATCTGAGTGTTAGTCCGGGAACGTTATTGCCTGTGTTGACACGATCAATGCCTTCCTATGGTCGATACAGGCCGAGAGGTAAGCCCTCAAACCGTCCTCCGTGCCTCCGTATATAAACCTTTAGAGTAGAGTCATAAACAGGACCACTTTACCTCGGCATAAAGCATTCCGCAGTCAATCTGGACACTAAACCAAAGGAACAGTAAAAGATCCAAATGGTGTCATTTCAAGTGCTCGTATTACTTCTCAGTATCGTTTTATAGTATTCCCTCGTAAAACGCAACACTAGCAGTACAGCTATAACCAATCTATTCAACGTTACTGGAAGCATATAGCAAGTTATCGTAGCTTTTAGTGGGATTACTTGAAATATACTGCCTGGATATTATATCTGAAAGTCATTGCTATTTCCCAGATTCCTGGAAGCGGTAGAAGTTTTCCCTCATCAGATTGCCTCCAGGGCACGCGAAACCGCAGAAACTACCAATCATAGTGAAGTACGCCGCAATTATCGGGTCATTTAACGCTTAGTGGTGACCCACATTAGCGCTAATTACTACACGCACGCCTGCGGAGCGAGGGAACCTCAGCACCGTGGAGCACTAATGATCCACCTGCCGTTCATCTGGGCTCTACCGGGACGGGCTGCGTGCGATGACTGTTTTTTTATATTCCAACATTCATGGTCCCCAAACCGCCCACGTACACTCAATTTTCAAAAGTTTTCACCTTATATTCATGCCGCCAACAACGCAGGCAAATGCACTGACAACAGGCATACTCATCTTCACCTGAGTTAAGTGAGGACATTCGTGTTAAGTGCACAAGATCGGTGGCATTTCTCGATTCGAACTCGGGACCTCTTGGTTCCGAGCCGAACGCTATGTCGTTACGCCACATGACCCCACAATGGACTGTTTGGAGAAGATCCTAATGGTAGCCATACAGAGGGGACCCAGCTCGGGCTTTCACAAATCACACTGGTAACAAAAGACAAGGAAGCCGCGGATAAGTTACTTATAAAGATACGATACACGATAGCATGAGGCATGGTGAATGTGATGTCTGCTGGTCTGTTCTTCAACTATTGATGATGCTGGTCTTTCCAGTACATTCTATTTTAACGCCAAGCGACTGTGTCTCCAAATGCGCAGCAGTACCTACTAATTAAACAAATCACAGGTATTATGAACCTTCTCTGAACGGCAACTATACTTAACCATTGATTATTGCCAACGCTAAGTCTGTTTTTGTATCGATCTCAACACAGGACGAAAAGCATCAGACGTTGTCCATGAACTTGTGGATTACAATGGTAAGCTATCGATATCTCATGATTCATAATTCATCAACGTTTTCGTTACCATATGAGTTATGTAACACCGTAGAGCACTCCATGCATTTCAGAACATACACGTTAAAAGTGTGTAAATAATGCATCGAACATAGACATTGGGGAGGGTGTTTAAAGGCACCTTAATCTAGTCATGGAAAACATTTATGAAGTGGAGTAACCAATTCTCTTTGTTGCTCAATAACATGCAGACATGCAATAACAATGCCATTTGACTGCCCCATTCCCGATGTGTTCCCATCAGGGCTGGAATGACACGCACATGAGATGGGACCCGGGGGAGTACGGAGGTGTGGCGCACCTCACCGTCCCAGCGACGTACGTCTGGAAACCGGACATCATTCTTTATGAAAAGTACGTGACGAGTTTCGATTAACCGTTAGAATTGTTTCCAGTCTGAAGATGTACTGCTGTATAGTGTATCATGTGTCAGACTCTCGGTGTTGATGTGAATGTAATGATCCTGAAAGACATAACACAGGAAAACGTCGACGGGCATACTACCAAGACTGATTGCAACTGCAAGACGATTGCATGACTGTAGATGTAGACCCAGTAGATGATGATCATGATCATGTCTTTCTTCCCTTTCATATATACCTGGTATATGTCCCTTCCCCATTCATCCTCATTCGTGCTGTTCCCTCTATGTTACAGTGTAGACCCACAGTTTAACGGCTGGAGTAGAGACGAGACGTACGTGAAGATCCACCAGAACGGCTACGTCCTGTGGGAGATCCCGGCCGTCACCAGGTCGTCCTGTAAGTTCGACGTGTCGTCCTTCCCGTTCGACCACCAGCGCTGCTTCCTCAAGTTCGGCCCGTGGATCCACAGCGGGTACGAGGTGACCATGCGGAGCATGGCCCCGGAGGGAAGCCTGGAGGGGTTCATAGACCACGCGGAGTGGAGGGTTCACAACTTCATCGCCGAGGAGCACCTCATCTTCTACGGCGAAGATTTCGACATTTCTACACCGTACGCTGACGTGACCTTCACGCTGAGGCTCGGGCGGAAGTCCACGTTCTACGTGTTTAACCTCCTCCTGCCGTGTCTGCTGCTGACCTTCATCATGGCGGCGACTTTCTTCATGCCTATAGACAGCGGAGAGAAGCTGTCGTTCGGCGTGTCCATACTGCTGGCCATGGTCGTGTTCCAGTTGGTGCTGAAGGAAGCTCTCCCAGAGTCGGAGACCCTCCCATGGATAGGTAATTCACCCATATTATTGCACCACATACTTAGTGTGCAATGCCGTGTAATTTTCCAATGAACGCGGCTACTCAAATGAATCTACGATAAAAAGAACGTTGTATTCTTGATTCATTGCAGGTCGGTACGTCATCATCACCATGATCCTGATGGCCATCTCCCTGGCGATGTCCGTCTTCATCATGAACATCTGTGACTGCACCGTGTCTTCCACACCCGTGCCCAACTGGGCCAAAAGGTACATCCTGAACTATGCCGCCAGGTGTCTGCTCATGGGAGACATGTCCAAAATGGACGCAGGCGTGCCCAGGGATACCGAACTGCTGCTGGGCCCTCCTTTCCAAAACGGCCACAGCGGATCCAGAAAGGAACCGAACATTCTGGGCTGTGGTCTCAACAGTGACGCTGGACGGGACGGGACGGAGGGAGGGGTCGTCTCGCTACTTATATCTAGACTTCACGGGATAGAGAAACAACTGGAGACCCTGAAGGCGTATGCCACACAGCAGGAACGGAATTGGGAAATAGAGAAGGAATGGCGAACGCTCGCCAAAGTCCTGGACAGAATCTTCATGTTTCTGTACGTCTCTGTCGCCATCACATGCCTCGTTGCCTTCGCGGGAACATCGAAGCCACAGGAGGGTGAAAATAAGTAGTTACAAAAGGGGATGAAGATTATGTTGAGATAATATAGAATCTTCTATGTAATTGTAATTCAAGTTAATAGATACCAATTGCAAATAATCCGAAAAGGTGGCGGGAACAGCAAATTTTACTCGTCGCACTTCTGCTACACATTGCGTCGAGTTTCCTGTACAGTACACGAGAATAAGAGACTATAACGAAAAATGTATGTAAAAATACATGAACTAAATGCATTACTACGCGAGAATCGCTGTATATATGTTAGTCAAATTGTAAAGTATATCGTCATTTCCTGTACAGAGGCCTATGAGAAGGCTGTAAACCTTACAACTATCCAATAGGTCTTATTTGTACGAATCATTACATGCTGTACATATGCAGGATCACATAGTTAGCCATAGTATCTATTAGTCAAAGAGTTAAGACGTATATATAAAGTGTACAGCTATGGTTTAATGAACTAAAGAATGAATAGAAATATGCCACTGTTCAAGTTTGATCTACCTCCCTGCAAGTGAACACAAATCGACTTCCCTTGTTTACGTTTTGTTACTCTTGTCATTAATCTTGACATTTTATTATCCAAATGTTGAAAACTATAAAACACTCCTTCAACTGTATTTCTATTCCACAATGTCAATGTAAATGTACAAGTCAACGAATACCTTTACAGCTTGCTGTAAACGTCAAGACTTCACGAATAAAGTAATGCCCCTATGGTCTATCAGTATGCGTCACACGAGTCAGGACCATTGTGAGAGGATAGCTGGGGTTCGTCACTTTATAATCTCTGGATATGACCCGGACACGTCCGGAATTCAAGATGAGAGTGGAAGTGATTTAACAATGAATAATACGTGACATCTGACAGAAGGGTATAATAAATACCGGATCGCCCTTGAAAACTATTCAGCTTTCAATACAAATGCACATACATTCAGACAAGACGTCATTGAAGTCATGGGTGGATTTATTGACTTAACTATGGGCGAGAGTTCACGGTTACAATTGTACACGTTTTCTTAACATACTGATTCCACTAAAATTGTTTTGGAAATTCTCCAATTCGTATGTGCAGCAAGCAGCATCGCTGCAAGGAAAGTAGGATTGTCTCAGCCTAAGGTTTTCCCGCAGGAACAAGTAGACTATTTTACTACTTGCTTGTTGAAAGTGGAAGAAACTTGTATTTAGGTACCAGTGATAGTTTCTTAAAAGCTGGTCACATTCGTCGCACTGTCGTAGTTCGCTCGCAAACTGTTGGCATTCTTGGAATAGTCGTGAGTTTATCGTACAAAATTCCGCTGTCTTGTTACAGTCAGAAAAGGCTGTCTTAGGTCCTTGTTGGCGTTTGATTCTGTCATAGGCTGCTTAAAAATCCCACGACAAAAAAAACCATACGACGTCCTACGACAATTGTGACCACGCCGTTACCTCCATGCTATAAGAGCAGCTGTAGCTGTTTCAACTAGGTACGTATCCTATGTTGGTTAGCAAAATATCAATCTTATCAATAAATACACACTTATGTACAGAATAGCTGGATCTCTATCACTGTACATTACGGTTTTGCTGCACGATAGGTCAATACAACTATGTTACAACAGAGTCGAACCCACAGGCTGATATTTCTAAAGGCATCTGAAGCCCAGCCCGTTATAGGTAGCCAGGTGTAGCTCCATACGACAGTCAACAAGGTCAAGGTCATCGTGCCGCTTAATGTTAGCTTTACTTTACACTTTTATGTCACGGCCGTCTACAGAGCAACCCTTTTCAAAAGTTAAGTTAGGATCACAATGCACCTGAATCGACACTAGCTGCTATCTAAGGTCGACCGCTAGGTGGAGTAGCTACATTGGTTAAGCATCTTACAGCAACAAATGCTGAGACGATACTTTAAGTTAAATGTTAACGTGTATTACGAACCTTAGGCCGTCGCTGTATGTTGGGCCTGCGACGGTCTCATCCATACACAGTCACCTTTCCACACAGGTAAATACACTTTCCCTGGTGCTGAACACTATTCACACAGGTAAACATGTCTGTCCCTAGTGCTGAACACCATTCACACACAGGTAAACATGCCTGTCCCTAGTGCTGAACACCATTAAAACACAGGTAAACATGTCTGTCCCTGGTGCTGAACACCATCCACACACAGGTAAACATGCCTGTCCCTAGTGCTGAACACCATTAAAACACAGGTAAACATGTCTGTCCCTGGTGCTAAACACCATCCACACACAGGTAAACATGCCTGTTCCTGGTGCTGAACGATATTCATACACAGGTAAACATGCCTGTCCCTGGTGCTAAACACCATCCACACACAGGTGAACATGTCTGTCCTATTCCGGGTTTGAATAATTTTGGTCGCGTGTTTCTATGTCAACGTCACCGAACCTCATCCATAGGGCAGTAAAGTTAATGATCCATCCCTTAGCCAATGCCGTACCTTTCCACACTGTCGGTTCCGATGATAACCTCATACACCACTAAGTGGGGCAGATCACTGGACCCCGGCACGCTAAACTGCGCTATATTCATCTTAATCTGGGATTATATCACAGTCCTCGGCAAGACATCCTTTAGTGGGATGTCTCGTTTTTATCTACCACATCCGCACCTACCTTGGCATTGAATGAGAAAGCAAACAAGCAGGTAAAAGCAGCTAGGACATACATGGTAAAGAATATCCGATCCAAAACCTTAGCTAGTGTTCTCCATTGTCTCTCAATGCGGGACTGAGTCGATGCTTCTTTCACGTGGTTGGAGATGATGTCCATGGAACTCTTGATGTTTTTCACCGTGCCGAGCACTTCTTTCATGACCAGGTTGTACGCGCTGATGTCTTTCCAGCAGCCGCGGACAGTGTCGCAGTCCAGTGTTACATGGCTGACGTGGCTGACGTGGTTGGTGTCGTCCAGCTCGGACAGTTCCTGGCTCTCCCAGACCTCCTCCGTGTCGTGTGACTTGGACAGGTCGCCCATGAGCAGGAACATGGCCACGTACTTCATGACGAGTTTCTGCATCCATAGCGGGACGGGCCTGGCGTGCAGGGAACAGTCACACACGTTCATGATGAACACGGACATGGCCAGGGAGAAGGACATCAGAACCATGGTCACGATCACAAACTCTCCTGGGGAAATACACACAGGACAGCAGGGTTTATTACAATGTGAACTGTTTAACTTTTGAAGGATTCAATATAGTTTTATCCTTCATATCATACTAGTTTGTACACGATTAATAAAAAAGCCTGAAATAATTAGACTATGAAGATTTCGAAATGGCCGATGACTACATTCCTTGCCCCGTGAATATCATTTAAAGGTGAAAATCCATTAAGATGCAGTTTCATTCACCACTGACTAAAACATACGCAATAGCTGTAGGGAAGTGTTTCTCACCAATCCAGGGTAATTTGTCCGACTCTGGTAGAACCTCGTTCAGAACGAGTTGAAAGACAACCATAGACAGCAGCAGGGACACTCCAAACGACAGCTTCTCCCCGCTGTCGATGGGCAGGAAGAACGTGGCAGACATGATGGACGTCAGCAGCAGACACGGTAACAGCAGGTTGAAGACATAAAATGTCGACTTTCTTCTCAGCTCGAGCGTGAAGGTCACGTCAGCGTACGGTGTACCGATGTTGAAGTCCTCCCCGTATGTGCCCATGTGCCTTTCCGCCACGAACGACAGAATGTCCCACTCCGCGTGGTCAATGAACCCCTCCAAACTCCCGTTCCCCGCCATGCTCTTCATGTCCACCTCGTACCCGCTGTGTATCCACGGTCCGAACGCCAGCTCACACTTCTGAATGTCAAACGGAAATGACGACACGTCGATGTCACAAGACGAGGACGTGACAGACGGGATCTCCCACAGTATGTAGCCGTCCTGGTGAACCTTGACGTACATCTCACCTCGGGACCAGCCGTCAAAGTACGGGTCAACACTGAAATAGAGACGAGGATCGCCATGGTTAGCCCATACTTAGATAGTATCCCCAGACGAATGTGTTGCGCATGCATTTAGTAACATGCAAAATAGTAGCGTTATGCTGGCAAAATGCGGGTCTTAAACAAGGTTTCCGAAAAAAGTTCAACCATTTGGCTTGATTCAAGGTGTCAAAAATGTGGGGTCAAAAAAATGTCTTCCAGGTGTCAAAAAATATCTTCCAGGTGTCCAAAAAATGTGTTCCAGGTATCAAAAAATGTCGAAAAAATATCTTCAAGGTGTCAAAAAATAGTCTTGCAGGTGTCAAAAAAATGTGTTCCAGGTGTCAAAAAATGTCGAAAAAATGTCTTGCAGGTGTCAAAAAAATGTGTTCCAGGAGTGAAAAAAATGTCGAAAAAATGTCTTCCAGGTGTCAAAAAAAGTGTTCCAGGTGTCAAAAAAATGTCGAAAAAATGTCTTCCATGTGAAGCGCAGTAACTAAAGGCAGGGAAATATCAGTCATCAGTAGACACTAGGCATCTTGAAAAGGGCAGTACTTTTACCACCGCAACCTGTTGACTGAGACTGAACAAAGTTCCACTAAACTACAGGTTAGAGTTAAACCATGCCCGTGTGTGACCTGGCCAGGTGCCAGGAGCAGATCTAGTACACATGTATAACCACACAAAAGTACGGAGAATGTTCGTGGCGCCGGCCGGCTCAGGGATAATGCGCGTGTGAAAGGTATCTTAATGAACGGGTCTGGCAGTTCTGACATCGGGGTCTGATTCTGAATTCTCAATGTGATGATTAACGACGTGAACCAGACGGATACATGTACTGGAAAGTCATTACAAATGAATCCATTCTAAATTGCACGCTTACCGGCGCCATGGTTAATAAGTTGGAGTTTCCACTCTACCAGGATGGTTTTATTGAATCAGAATTTGTACCGACCCTCCTGCTGTCGTGGTGCACCTCGCTGGACCGGTATGTGACCTTTGTCTCATTCGGATCCATAAACTCATACGGGCGGGGCAGCTGTGGGACTTTGCGTAACGTATAGCAGTATAAAAGGTTCAATAAAGGTCGGTGAACCGAGGTGAACCACGGGGATTCTGAAGTTTTTCTGGGCAAGTCATGACACTGGTGCTGCATGCAGAATTGTAAAATTGTGTACTGAAGTCGTGCAGTGTCGGAACATATAGAATCGACATCGTATTAATAACACATTTTTAGAACTATGAAAAACCCTAACACCCTACAATCCTTCAATCTTTAACGTCATGCGCACATATATCGTCAACCGTGGCTTAGTAAAATAATCACCCACTTTAAGAATTGCCTAACACCAAATGTTATTTACAGGTATATGTGCTTCATTGTGTGTCCGTCATTTTTCTGTCACCTGCAATTAGCCTTCGGGCCAGAATTTGCAATAAACTTTAAATCTACTGTGGAAGGCCCTGCACAAGCCACATGATTCCCTTCCACATATTGCCGTATTGGAAAGCCGCTGTGTTTGCATGCACGTCACAGATCGCGCGTGGGTTGTGTTAATCCCGGACTCGGCCTGCCCTATTACACCTGTGTGCCATGACTCCGGGTCGACATGCAGCCCTGTGTGGGTACGGGGGTCAGGAGAGAGTTATCTTCACCAAGCCGACCCTCAGACCTTCCCACTCACCTTATGTTTAGAAAATTTGCCGACAGAGCTCGAGAATATCGTTGGTAACGAGTGAAGTTCTTGGCCAAAATCAATGCGCGTTATGTTGCTCGCTGAGTGTAAGTGTCCTCAGTGGTCTATAAAGATCGCATGGCTACTTCAGCCATGTAATCTGCCAGCGCAAGTTGCTGGTAAAATCGTGCTGCGGTCATGAATTATTCAAACTGGAGGGGCAGCCTACCGGTAAATATGCTACTACGTGATGTAATTAATTCAATCTCACGGTTAGCTGGAAGGTAAAGTATCTTCTTGTAGCTCCACATTCATTGACTTTCAAACTAGTGAAAATACAAGGACTATAGACATGTGTTGATTTCGTTAAGACATCAGCCCTTCTCTCTCAAGTTTACAATACCTTTGAGTCTCCCTGCAGATTGGAATGACAAAAAGACCGATTCTCTGTGAACAGATTTTCTGACCTCTCTATCGAGATGACCTTTCTGTAGTTTGTCAGGATTTGTACCGGTGTCACTGTGAAGAGAAATTACCGTCGCTTTGTTCACACGCGGGTTTTAATCACCCGGCAATCCCTGCACTGCGGGTATAATGGAACAAAGCAAGCCTTCCATGGTTTGATGCTGATGATTAATTACTGGGAAGATGAAAAAGCCATGTTATAATTAGTGCTTTTGACTAACGCTGTGATTGACATTCACTTGGGATTTTTTTTAATCACCTGTGTGTTACGCACATTTGACAGCCACTCGCAGGGCAAAAATAACAAGGGTGGTGTTTAAAAAACACACCGGCGACGTATTTTAATAATATAATTATTACCTTCACCAAGAAGGTTATGTTTTCAGAGGCGTTCGTGTATGTGTGTGTGTGTCTGTGTGTCTGTAAACACGATAACTTGAGAAGGCCTTGATGGATTGTCTTGATATTTGGTAGGTGGGTAGGTCTTGATGAGACCTCAAAATGATTAGATTTGGGGCCCCCTAGCGGCTTGTTATGGTACTGCAGCTAAACTTCCGGTTTTCATATCTCATGATCTAGACATGTTAGGGTGACGAAATTTAGATGGTAGGTAGCTCTTGTGCTGGGGAAGAAGTGACGTGAGTTTAGACCCCCTAGCGGCTTGCTCTGGAACTGCAGGGCTATATGTTTGAAAGTATTCAAAAGAGGATAACTCAAGAACCGGTTGATAGATAGTCGTTATTGTTGGTATGTAGGTAGCTTACGTGATGCTTGATATAATTATGTGATTTGCATAATTTATGGGGAAATTCTATAAATCAGCTGCATTTCATGATAGGACTATTGAAGCTCGTGAAATTGGTAATTGAGAACGAGAGAAATACAGGCAGATATTGATTATGTAAACGAAGACCTAATTTGCATAATTAATTTTATAATTATGTAATGATAAGTGCCTGGAATTTCATACTTGTGGTATTTGAAAGATAATTGAAGGTGAACACTTATCTTTATCTTATGAAAACATAATGTATTCAAATAAGGACCTCATTTGCATAATTTATTAGGAAATGCTAGAATGGCATTGTTTGTTAATATAAGACTGTACATTGCGAATATGATAAATTGATATCCATGAAAATGAGAATGGAAATGAGCACCCTATTTGTTAAATCAGGGGGAATAATCTATAATTTGTCAGTCATAAAGATTAACATCATTTGGCGAAGGTATGAGATCGGGGACCTCTAGTTATATTATAGTATAAATTTGTAACCCTTTTGATATACCTTGTTTAAAAGGATTTTTTCTTATAACGGATTGTTGTTTTAGTACTACTAGTATGTCAAAATGTGTGTGTTTTTAACACCGTATTGTATATAGGAAGTTGTATTGTTTGTTTTTGAGGGTGCTAATATGATGCATGCATCAACGACTGATGAAATGTGTACCCTGAGCTGTAACTCACATTCGTATGGATTTATATTTGATTATTTAGGAAGTACGTGAGTAAGGTATAGTTATTAGAAAAGAATGGTATCTGACGCAAGTATTACCAAATAAGGATGAGCTTTTTAATAGGTATTGCCATATATAATAGACACGCTACGTGTACACCCAGTGGGTCTCCACCAGAAAGCAGACCGGGCGCTCGTCCAAGGTTCCCCAGATATCTGGTGTCTCCATATTCCACCTAACATGTCTTACTTTCCACAGCGCCTTCACAAATTCACGGAGGCGCTGAAGGGACTTGTGCAGAACTACCCCAAGGTCACAGTATGGGACCACAGACGTCTGTGGAGACGCAACCCAAATTGCAAACTACTTTGCGCCTGACGGCCTACACTTGTCCGATCTGGGAAACATCCAGTATTACAAAAGTGTCCGCGGGGCTTTAGACCGCCACACGCTCCTACACAGCGTCCTATTAAAGAACCCTATTGAATATGCGTGTGTGAGTCTTTTGTGCAATACATTATACAGCCGCATGATGGCTTCTGGCGCCTGGGTTCGTCACACAGACGATCCTGGGAAGGAGATCATGCTGGGCGAGGCAGACTGTCCGGGGAACGAGTTAATTATTCACGAGAATGCCCAAACTCCCTCCGTGGCTAAGTTCCTTTTCGTGACTAACTCCCTTCAGAGTTCTGAGGTAACGGTAACGAACAAGCGTCGAATTTAAACAGATTTTTCACTCGTCTGTTGTCGGAGTGTACGAACTAAAACAAACTTTGTGAGATTACGGACATCATCACAAAAACTTTGTCCATTCTTGTGGTTATTTTCAGGCACGTGCTCCCATGCATAACGCCGCAACCAGGATTTTTCAAACTAGTACGGAATTAGGGGTAGGTCGGAATTAAGGCACCCCCTCAGGATCTAAGTATTTATCTCTGTTTATCGAGAGATGCTGTTTTCCCTAGCGTCGCCAATGAAAGGTACTTCGTATAGGTCCGTTTCAAATAGTGTATTACCACTGTGACAACATTTTATACCCCAAAATAGGAATCTTGCGTCTTGTTTAGACCCGCTACGGTAGAAATAACGCAGTGCCAGATCGCCGCCGTGTATATATATCCTTGACGTTACGTACTAGCGAGCGCGCACGAAAATACCACCCGAGTAGAGTAGGTTATCACAACCCTTTAGAAAGACACAAAGAAAACAAAAACGACATATTTGCATTAAGAAAGGGAAATTTATGCCGGACTTGGCCGGACACGAAAGCCAATCCTCGCCCGCTAGGTTTACGTTGACCAGTGCACTACGTGCACGGGGAATTCCCGGTTTGTACCACACGGGGTCTCCTTGTTTGTATCGCACGGGCCACGCTCAAACTTTTCTGGAATTGACCAATCAGAGCTCGTTAAAACCATTTGCTCTCTTCACGCGTCCTTTTCCACAAGCAGGACGCTCATTTACATGCTCATTTAGGCAATGACTGGTGAGAGCAGTCAGCGTCAGGATTCAGTCGACACCAGGACCCCAGGTTAGTAACACACACTCTGTATTAGCTCTCTGTAGTTCATATCCCTTGTAGGTTCCACTCCTGTAACTTAGATACGAAACTAGACCACTGTAACTCTAAGACTAGACCATTGACTTTGTATATATACAGCAGATCACAATACAGCAACCCGTACAATCGAAATCGACCCGGCTCTGTGTTTTACTTGGTTAACTAGCAAATCAGATAGACGCGTAACTTGACGTAAGTAAAGTTAGACCAAGAACTAAACCGTTACAGAGATCCCCGAAATACTACACTGATTCCTCCTAAATTCTACACTGGTTCCCATACCGGATTGTACGTCAAGTTGTTGTCCTGTGAACGCTGCTGTAATTGCTAGAATTTTCGTTAAAAGTTGCCACACACTTCGTATAGTTCGTAGCTTTGACCATCTGCTAAGCGTCCCCACGTGTTCCGCATTTTCGGCTAGCTTTCTCGGCCTGTTTTCCAAACTTTGCTTAGTCTATAGTTCACTTTGTCCGGCTGATTTTGTGGCGCTTTTGGCGTTATTGCTTTTCCCGTACCCCAACTTTTTCGGATAGAACGTTTTTCTCCGGTTAGAAAAGCCGAGTTTCAGTTTCTGAGAATCCCTATCTAAGCGTCACTTCACGGGTGGTCCTTTGTTTGTGTCGCATCTTGCATTCATGTGCCATCTTGTCCCAGTTACCCCTGTGGTGTAACGGTCGCCCCTCACTGGTCATTTCCTGCCCTTCTGTGGCTGTATTGTTTCTGAAAGCTGGTTTTCCATTTTTGATGCGCTTTCCCATGCTTTCTTGTGTTTTTATTGCCCCGTCTAGCCCCGTTCTTTTGTGCCCTAGTATTTTTTCTCTCCGCTAAATTTGCTCTTTCCTGTTCGGCTATTTTTTTCCTAATCCTCCTGCCTGGCCTTTTTGTTAGTCTGTCCTTCACTATGGCCCCAAAAGTTGACTTTGCCTTTGGTTTTGGAACTTCATATCCCGTCTCGATTCGTTTGTGGAAAGTCGAGCCAGTACGGCCAGGGGGCGAGTTGTTAGCAGACATTCCCGCGATGATAATGAAGACCTTTATTGTACATTTGTGTTCTACAGAACTAGGTACAGGTCGCATGGGTACAGAACATGAACATAAACATATACATTACATACAAAGGAACATATAAGAGCGTAAATAAATGTCTAATTTCTATTCTTTTCGGCTTCATCTCGCTTAGTAGTGATTGTATGGATATATGCGGCTGTGAGATCACTTAGAGTAGGTTTATCGAAAGTTAAAAGGAATACAAATTTCTCTTTACTAGTCAAATGTCTGAAGTGGGGAAATATACTTAATACATGGCTAAAAAATATGAGTCTATCTCTACTATACAAGGGGCAATCTATGGTGAAATGTATTTCATCTTCTATTCGGCCTAAACTGCAGAATTGACAGGTTCTTTGTTCTAGAGGAGTGCGGTTATGTCTTCCTGATTCAATTCGTAATTTGTGACTACTGATTCTTAGTTTTGTAATGGAGGACCTGTGACGTATGTTCGCTAAGTTGAGATATTTTTTCTTATCTTTTCTTATCTATATTTTTCTTTCCTATAATGACAGTTGACACGATTCTAATCACCGCTGTTTCCCTACAGTTGCCCAGGCCGGCGGGCGTGGAGATACGTAGCCCCTTTGCCTTCTCCCAACCAGGGATACAGACATAAAAAGGTGAGTTCATACGTACTTTTATCCATAATTCTGCAGGGTGTGAATGTTTGGTAACGTCGGCCAGTTTTGGCTAAGTTAATTTATGAAGCGCGGAAGGACTGCTACTTATGCAGTTCACAGCTGTCATGTCAAGTGTACTTTAGACGCACATTCTATATCAGCCTGGTCTTCAACTGTTTTCTACGTTTCGATGACTTGTTTAGGAAATGTACACCTTGATTTGAAGAAATACATTTCAAACCGCTACCATTTGCTGTGACGTTCGCACCACGGTATGTTTTGGCCGAGATCTTTATGAGGCGCGGTGAGAGGCATATTACTGTTGACTTACTTGCTGTGGATAGAGGGTAGCCATTTAAACGGGAGTTTTGTCAGGTATCATATACAATAATGGTAGGAGCTGTATTTCATGTATAGATACCTTCAATGTGTGAAGTCCTGTCTATTGTTTTGTCCTGACACTAGCAACAAGCCTCACACCTTATCAGACCAATGACACTGCCTTTCTTCTCTCCATACAGTTGCAATACCATGTGCCTTAGCTAGTGCGCAAGCTCTAGCCGGCAGTTGCAGTGCTATAGCCGGGACAATCACATATGCCAGAAGCCGTGGTCACAGCTGACTCAAGCCTCCCGGTTACAGAGCTGATCATGACAACTGACTCCAGTCTCCTTTGTGTAAAATTTTGTTTCGATATTGTTGATGATGGTAGAAGAAGCATGTTGATATCATATGTGTATTAAGTAGTAGCATCGTCGACAGAAAGAAGGCAACATGGGAAAGAACCAGATCAGTAGCAGAGCCATCACGTGCAGGCTATATAATACATTGCTAGCCACAATAAACCTTACACCAGTTAGAGATTACTGGGATGACTTACATACGTCTGTACTACGATGATACATTGCCTGTGTTTTACGGTATCTTAGTGTATATATTGTAATGACCTATTTTATATGTATTTAAAAAACCTCGCCAATGACGGTTCAAATCGAATCGAGGAGAATGTACACATTTTAAAAACCATGAAGATGCTGAACAATCGGTGTATATGGGAGCAGTGGTACGATTGCACTCTCTAACTAACTTGTAAGAACATGATAGTGCAAGACCTGATGAAACTCCGAACAGTTCCCTTGTAATTACTTAGACAGTTCTCTGTTATTGTAGTCCCTGTTATTGCTCCGGTTACAAATATGTTTGTTTCTTTGAACAAATGTATTATTCTTTGCTGAAGTGATGTACCACTGTTATGCGGTAATACAGAATACTAAGTATAAAGACACAGGATTTCTACAACAAGGGACGCCAGTTCAAGAAGCAAAAGATAACTCAGTTAAGACTGAAAGGGTTAACGTATCCAGTATCATATAGTCATAGCCAGTCCGTCTTAAAAGTCTCCCGTGCCCAGTGTGCGGAAAGCCTTGTCTCTGCGTCTTTCCTTTATCCTCACAAAGTTGCATTGAAAAGAACTTTATAATCCATCTGTTGGGTTTATGTCCAAACACATACTTTTTCATAAAGAGAAGGAAATCTACTAGAAAAAAACAACAACCAAACGCGGTGACATATTGGTTTATATTCAGACAATCACGACATCTCCTTTGAAACATTGAAAGAACTTGAATTCATCCGTTGGGTTTATGTCCAAACACATACTTTTCATAAAGAGAAGGAAAACTACTAGACAAAAACAACAGCCAAACGCGGTAACATATTGGTTTATATTCAGACAATCACGACATCTCCTTTGAAACATCTGACTTCAAATGCTGACCTTGTTCAATTCCAAACAATGATCCTGACCAAGCTGTCGAAAAAGCTCCAAAGTCATTGAAAAACGGCTAGACAGCTGGGAGGGAAGACCTCACCCGCAAGGTGTTGCCAAAAATGAATTCCCTAGGGAATGCGTGCGTGGAATATTTAGAATTCCTGGCAATTCAATCGCAGTACTATACTAAGGGCTCCGCCCCTGAGGCGTCGCCAAAAAGCTCAAGCAATTAATAATCAAGCAAACTACTACACAGCGGTTATAATTCTGAGCATGCTGCACCGTGCGTGGACCCAGATGAGTAATTACTTACTTCTGGTAGAGGACGATATCTGGTTTCCAAACCATGTCGGCGGGAACTGTGAAGTACCAAAGGTTGTTGTAGTCTGTCGCGTTCCAGGTTAGATTCGTGTCATTCCAGCCCTAATAGATCAGGTATAATGTTGTATAATGTTCATCACTGAAATGTTACAGCGGTTAGAAATAATATGACAACTATTATCATTATGATGATGGCCATTACGTGTAGTTCAGAAATGGGACCGAACATCAAAGTAAAGCAATAGTCACAAAAAAGTTAGAGCATCACTTAGTATTCTCTTAGCATTCTCTTCGCACCGTGTCGTATTGCTATCTCTGCTATCTAAATGGAAGGCACACGGCGCCCATTTTGTTATAACGTAGCTATATAGTTTAGGACTTAAAACATTCCGATAATTTTAATGATCTGAAACACGACTATTTTACAACTTTCCCGGCATCTCCGAAGTGCAAATTCAGTCAGTTATTGGACTGACTTTTCGCACAGGAAAGACGCTCAAACAAACTTTATAGAATGACACAAGAGAAAGCTAGCTCACCATCGTTAGCCATAGATTCGCGGTGAGAGTTTGATGTTTCTCGTCCTATAAAATAAACACAGGAAATGTTGTTAGTAACAGTCGGACGATGTTCAATACAAGTTAAGTACGAATGAGACACAAAGGTTTCCAAAGATGTAGAAAGAGACGAAGGTCAATAGTCAGATGGATGGTTTGTATCTAATCTTTCCCCGACCTCACACATGAGCAGGTTAGACAACAGGTGCCTTCTGTAACTCGCGTCATGTCAGCATCTCTGGGACAGGTTCGCACAGAGGATCAATAAAACGATACCATTGTAGAATTAGGCTGGGCCGTGGCGCTTTTACTGAAACCTATCTCATCTGGGAATATCGTCACTTTACCGAGTATTGGAAACAAAATGCCCTGGTTCTGTTTGGCTAAGTTATGCTTTTTCATTTTCCTGTGTATCTCCCCCAGTTCATATGGATATCCAGATAGACCATTTAGACCCTAGTCACAGTTCTAGTGGTAAACACCTGACTGAAAGCACTACTTTAACGAGTATGCTACGTATATAAACGCCTACTACATTAAGACACCCTGTATATAACAATAACAATAACATCAGCCTGGAAAATGCAAAGCCTGGAAAGTGTTCCTTTTCGTGACGTACATATAAACGATGGAAAGTTCAAACATTGACAAATGTGATGCATTTGTATTCGAAGCATACGCCCTGCTGTTTCATAAATATTCAAGTCATGGAAACAGGACTGTCTAGAAACAAATACATGTATTAGAATCTACAGCGCTTTTAACTGCCAGGTCGAACTTGAGATATCTATCACAATAACATATGCTTGCTCAAATCACAACGTCTCGCCTGTCAATGTCTTCTATTGAACGAAAATACGCCCACTGGATTCAATTCCGTCTAATAGTATCCTGCCGAATTTATCAGAATCTTCAGGCCCAGCCCAGAACGGACAATCTTGTATTATCTTGGTTTTAGTCCGTATCTCAGTGAGAACACCCGGGCGCTCTCATCGGGATATTCATAACATCGCTTTATCTTGTGTAAAGCACATCTCTACTCTAACAAAACACATTATCTACGCCTTCGAATTTCAATCGAAAGGGTTTCATTGTCGAGATATGGAACTCTACTAAAGGTCTATTTCGGTGGTTTCGTTTCTTAAGGGTTGAGGAAAGTATGGGTACAATTGCAATGCCGCTATGTCAATACAGTGACCCTCCTTCTGACTATAACGGGTGCGTATTATCTTTATTTACAGACACAAGCGAGAATCATGAACAATGAAGAGAAAAACAACTGCCACAATTCCCTGGAACATTTACAGCCTGACGAAATGTGATCTTGTCAATGTATAGATAACCAAGTACATATCGGCCCTCTTAATCCTCATCAACTGCCAATGGCATTATCTGTTCTGTGATTGAATTAGATTAAATTGAATTTTAGTATCCGAAAAAAGCACTTGTCTAGTAACTTGTGTCGACGTTGTCCATTTCAGACCCTGGACCTATCAGTCGCCCGGATCTCATGCCGCGCACGTCACCGACTATATCACCCCGACGGGAGGAATGGCTGAGTTTAGAGGAAGATACGGTTGGGAATCAGCTATCAGCGAGATAGCAGAGAACCATCTGTGATCGACGAGCAGTCTTAGTTTGTGGCCTGGAGGTTGGAACATAAAAATCTACCCTATCAAGTGGAGTAAATTGAATTTCTAGATACGTATTTATTTACATCAACGTACCATGAACTACGAAGAAATCTATGGGTGGGGCTGGCAACGCTGTTTCATCAAGGTCAAATTTATCAACATATAAGACAGTGACAATCACGGCCTAACACAGCCATTCATTACATTTTCTATAGGGAATTATCACTTCGCCAATGTTATCTCCAAATAATTTTCTTTGTTTTGTAGTTTGCAGAATATCTAGGATGATTGAAATGAATTCATCTTGATTATAATTATAAAGTTTAATGCATATTGTCATTAGAGCGGTGCACTTCACTTCACTAATGTAAATCACTCAATCACTCAGCTGACAGCCAATATCTAAACAACCTAGAGCGACGATTCCACATACCATGGTAAGCCATCTACAGGAGACTCTGAAACTACCGTCTTGAAGAGTTCGTCCTAAGGACAAAAACTCTGATCGAGACAAACTTGCTCATTTGAGACTAGAGATTTATTGATGATAAAATAATGGTTGAAGATTAAAACATAATGAAGTAGCGAGTGCGTTAATGTATCAGTATCAGGACACGACCCAACAGCTGCACAACAGTAACATTATTCACAGTGTATTGAATAATCCTGGTAACGTTATAGTGTACCACGACCGCGCGATGTGTTCTCAACCAGGTTCTGCTACTTCAAGGGATGTATCGATCCACCAAATATTCCGTGACCCCCATTTCCCAAAATAGCTGATCTCCCTGATCATGAATAATAGAAGAAGCCACTCCGGCTATTGCGTCGGATTACAGAAAGTTCGACATGACTTTGGGAGAACGTTGCCCGTCGTGACCGCCATGAATGCGATTCCGTTGTAACCCGGCCAGTTTTCCTATACCAATGATGAAATAGATGGAGGTATAAATGCCAAACGTTTTAGCTAGTTACTTCCCGTGGATGTGATAAAAGCGGTTCCATACTATCGCAATCATTTCTCTATAGCAATAAGGATATGGCCGGTGGCAAGGTACTTTGTTTTAAGCCTTTTGCCCTGGAGTATGTAAGAATCAACGAACCTCATCAGATCGTAATTTTTACCCTAATACTCTGTAATGTGTTGAAACAATGTGGATGGAGCCAGCGTAATTAACTGATTTTGCCGTTTCTACCGTGATGTTGTCATAGTCCAGTGCTTGCCAGTTACGCGAAGTATTGCCATCACTGTTTATTGGTCATCACAATGGTAATATTCCGGCACAGGCCATTGATTACTTCATGAGTGTGGCTCTAACATTCAGCAGGAACGTATGCCACAAGATGCCTAATTATCCATTAAAACATCGTATATTGTATAAGACACCGCATTAACTGGTGTTTTGCGCCGGAGGGCGGCTATACCGACAGTACAGATACAGATCTCATGACTCGTCAGACGCATATGCTGAAGTACATGTTTCCATGGCGGAAGTCCTCTGTCCACTGCAACAAAAAATACCTTCTTGTTTTGCCCCATTTCCTTTACGAGGTCATTCTAATCAGTCAGTTTATAGCTCTGTAATTACAACATGCGACCCTGAGGAGTCCGGGTCTCTTTTGAGTAACAAGAAGAGATGGAGATCGGCGACAGCAAAGTGCAACTTTCGGCGGCAACGACCTAGATGTGTCGTTTTCAGTTTGAATGTTCCCCTATGGACTCGTTTTAATCAGGTTAAAATCTGATCAAACGTTTCTCATTATACAGGTTGATTAACAGTAGTCTCTGATCTTGGGAATATTCTCCACAGAACCTCACGTTATATGAGAATATGTTTCCAACCAATGTTATGCTATTGAATTTTTCATATCGTTAAAATCAAGACCAGGCAAATCAGACAGCATTTCGGAATGGCGCACTTTTTCGTACATAATAATGTTGTTGTCAAGATCAGCAACGGGCTATTGAAGATCAACAACGAACTTTTGGAGACCAACAACGAACTGTTCAACATCAACAACAAATGCTTGAAGATTAACAACAAGAACAAAACAAATTGTTGAAGATCAACAACCAAATGACGATCAACAACCAGTGGTTGAAGATCATTGATCAATAACGAATTGCTGAAGATCTAACACGAATAGATGAAGATCAAGAGCCACTGATGAAAATCAACAACAAATTGTTGAAGATAAATAAAAAACCAAGAAGAAGATCAAGACCCAGCCGTTGAAAATCAACAACCAACTGTTGAAGATCAACAACAAATGGTTGAAGACACTCACCATGTTGATGATGTGCGTCAGCGCCACTCCTACTTCCACAATCATGGAGTCATTGGGACTGCTGACCGGCCGGAGAGCCTTCTTGTAGGTACGGAACAGCTTCGTGAACAGGTCAAAGTCATCACCTGTAGGGACGCACATGTGCAGATAACAGGTTACACAGTTCTCAACATTTGTGCTGCTGTATTGTTCCAACTTAGATATCTCTCTGCCTGCTAGCATATGCTTTTATTCACACTTACACGCTTACCCGCTCCATCAATTGTTTGGAGGCTATTTTGGTGATATTTGAAAACCAGAACATCCCTATCTACCAGCTAACATTCAGGTACAGAAAACTAGGTACCTGTTGGTGTACCTGCTGTAACACCTGGAGCGTAACGTTGTGTGGACGCAGAATTGTTGCTCAGACATCGAACTGCCCTTTGAAACTTTATTTGATTATTCAGTGAACTTTGTTATTTTGAGCCAGTCCCAGTCTATGACCCCATGGCGTATTCAGTTATTTATAGTGCTAATAGAACAAATATGTGATAAGCGTCTTCCTAATATCCTCCAGGCATTGCTATGTCAGAAGGCCACTCCGAGACTGTACATCTTATTAGATTCAGGTGAAAAATGGTACATCCCACTGGCGATCAAATAGTAATGAATCATCTCGAAATTTCAACCAAGACCCGTAGCACAGTTTTCGAGTCGTGAATTACTCGAGAGTTGAGTTCAAACATGTCAGTTGTAAAATAGCCTGATATTTTTTCCGTCCTGCTTTTTGATAAGATTGATTGAGTGCAATCATTTTATTGGTGTTGTTGGAGTTCGTTGACCCCGCAATGTAGTTAATCGACGTCTAAAACTTGTCAATAAAATGTCCGAGTATCACCCGACCCGAATGGAAATCTTTTGATTGCCTTGCCTGATCTTTAGATGCCATCGATACTCGTGAAGGGCTACCACTGCAATAATGGTAATGAAGAATACAAAGGACGAGCGCAACTTAGCCAGACAAATCCAGACCTCTTTTCACTTTGAAGCCTAGCTGCTCACGTTAGTATGAAGATAAAGAAAGGACCTAAAAGGTATGAAAAATAACGCCCTGGTTGCCCTCTGTTATGAATACTTCAATCTGAAATAGAATATTCCATATTCCACGATTTATATTCTTCGTGCTTCCAAGTCTTTGCAACTAAATAAGTTGAGTCGATAATAGTTGGTGTCTCAAAGTCTTTTGAAGGGCATTTTGTAAAGGATTCCTAACTACCTTGTACATCAGTGCCTGGATAATGTTCACCGAGGCAATGGAGGTCAACACGGAACGACCTGATTCCCCAACTGCTCAGTAAGGTAGCTATTTTTACTGCTGAAGTCCAACTAGAGCAGATATGAGACAAAACTTAAGCAATAGAAGCTATGTAAATCTTTCAACCAAGCTCCATGGCATACATTGGTTTATTGGATTGTACAGCAGACGATGCGTACCGCTTGCGCCGGCATGTGCCGTTAAATTGGGCAAATACATAAAACATGGTGGTATGATTATTCCACTTCAAGTATAGATGAGGCTTTTTAATCATTTAAAACATCCATTTATCCAATAGGCGACGCCTCAGTAAGCTATGGGAATTGTGTTCGAACATACCCATGTCATGGCCATTGGGACAGGCGTGTTCTTTTTACTGAAACTATATTTTATACATTTCTGGCGATCAATTTTCTCATCAGGTGGAGGAATATATCGGAGCATACATGCTGCATAACCTATGGTGCCCTATGTGCAACGAGGATTTACATTTGCCTCCTGGTATTTGGCACACGTCCTTACAATCAGATCAGAGACAATGCCATAGTTCTTCAGGAAGAATCAAAGTTCATGTTCATTGACGGTAACCAAAGAAAGGGTTCAACTTTTTCTTTGTTACATTAAATTATATTGTTGGTGCTTATATTGTCAGTGCAAAGCGCTCTCGACAAACCGGTCCAAAGAGTGGATGGCCATTGGGTCAAGAAAGAACTCTTACGGATCCAGAGTAGATTCCGATATTCTGTGGCGGTACGACACAATGCCTCCGGATATAGTATCTGTTGACAGTATCTATTCATAGGCATGTGCTCTGAGCGATGAAAGTTTAGCGGACTAATGAATTCGGGAGATGTCTAAGTCAGATGCAGTCAAGTGTATTCACAGTGATACCATATTTGCAAGTTAATTAGCAGAACATGACCAGACAATTTTCGTGTTCATGTTTCCAAGATTAGACATGTCCCCGCGGGGCTACTGCTAGAGGCCAACGTCAGACGGTTCTTAGGTAATATTCAAATTCGTCAGATTGGGTGCACAGGGGCTTCGAGTCATATCATGACAACGCTCCTCAGAATGTTTCATTTACTTTAATCAGTGAACCGCGCCATGCCGATGGACACATGGCTGTAACAGGGCTCTGCAGAATGCGACATATCAAGGTTTAGATTGAATTGCACAAAAGCAATCATCATTGAGAGTTTGCAATCAGTCAAAAGACATGCATTCATCATGAAAGAGAGTGAATTGTCATACAATGATAACACGGAATTGAAGGTACCTGGCCCTTATTTCGTCCGGTTTATTGGGTCAAGTATATAATGTAAATTTTGTACTTTCATTTACTCAGAAAAAATACGTACGTTTGGCCTTGTACGTTCTAGCATGATGCGCGGCATTATATCATTAGGCGGAAGGGTACGAACTTTGCTATAGTTCGCCGGGAAGTTTACTTGACACTTGGCGACTTTTCATCCCCACCTCACGCCGTGTAATTATGTAGAAATCCGCGGAGAGCGAACCCACGCCTCCAGCGACAGCAGTGGAATTACCTTGATCCTGCGCCAGCTGGGAAACTTTCTAAACGCTGTGCGGTCGCCTTGGGAGAAATACGACCACTGTTCAATTTAACTGTTAGATGAGCGCGTCAGCCGGCCTCGCGGTAATTTGGCAGGAAAACTTTTCCCGTAAATCACGGCATCCAACTTGAAAGTAAAGTGAAGCAATTTTCACGGACATGACCTTTCTTTATTGACCTTCATTAAGACACTAAATCCCAAGTTCCGGCTGCAATTAGTCATGTGGAAGTGGTGTTTCGTCACTCTCCAGTGTAAAGTCAACATCTAGACTTCTAAACGCCTGGCTGAAAGGAAAACTTCTGATGTTGACGACTCGTTAGATGTTCAAAGGGCGCCACGCATTAACAAATTCTATTGGGCGGTAATCTGACAAATCGATAACATCTATAACACCAAGCCATCCTTCGCCATGGCTTTACACCTCCCTCTGTAGGACTCATCTGCCCGATAGCCATATCGCCTGGGGTACTTTTTCATTTGCAGCAGATGTACCAAAACTCATGACAATCCAACCATCCGTTTTGTAGTTATTCCGATCCCCATACAAAATATAAACAAGCCGATTCTGTTTGAAAGGAAACACTATCTATTGAAGTTTATTGCTTACGTACATCGAGTTACATGTACTATGCTTTGTGGATCAAGATTCATATTTCGAAAACAATTACTTAACCATTGCATTGGTGATGATTCTTCCTAAGTCTGATCACATCGGCCGCGTGAAGAGGTACTGTATTCTCATCGACTTATTTACCAGAGGTAACGTCACCCGAGTAACATACCACCACTCAGGAGAACCGCACTGCGCAGGTGAATTAATCATTCCTGGCTTCAGAAACCAGATGAAAAGGTGAGGAAGGGTTTACGGAAGCCAAAAGTCAGTGCCAACTAATCATCCTCTGGTGTCTCGATGAATGATAAATGGAGAGAGAAGGGTATGTTCTTGGCACTCTCGCTAGCAATTCCGATTCTGATCCAAACGAAAGGGAACTTTAGACACAAGTGTTCAGAACTTCAATTTCCAAACTAGTTGGACAGATTGGAAGGGAATGAAACCTACGGTCCCATAAGCTAGATTTAGAGTGTGTATAAGAACTTATCAAGAAGGGATGCGGTCCTCCCTGCCTCTGGTGTACAGGAGTCAAAGCATATTACCTTACGGACTATCACTTAGCGATAGCCTTGGGTCGCCCACCTGGCCATACATAAAACAAAAGTAACTAGAATAGCACTTAACGATAATTGGGGCGTGGAAGGTGTAACCGTTCGTGCTGCGTCCCATCAATATGCCACGCTACCACATTGAAACTGACGGAGTGGTGCCTGAGGGAACTCTGGGGAATTTGCTTATCTCGTTTTCATTGGTCTTTCCAACGGTAGATCACATTCAATCATCGAAACAATCAATACTGATGGAGATAAAATTGGTCGCCAGTCGCAGGGTTCATAAATGGGTGCTGAAAAACATTCAGTCTTGAATCCCAGTTGAGGCTCTTCCTTTCATTTGGGATATATATGTGTTGATTTTTATGCACTTCTTCTATATCATAATACTATACTACATTATACTATAATGTAATATATTATACTGTGGCTGCCTGTGAAATATCTTCCCGGACTGAGGACGAATCCCCGAGGGTCTCATATTATGTCGTATTTTCCGCACGGTACTATTCTAATGATACTCATTGATTATCCGCAAGCTATGGTGTCGAAATGGCAAGACAATTTTGCTTTCCTCAATATTTCCTCTATATTTTTTTCTATATTTCCATATCTTACTGTAGACAGACGGCTGCAGAATGTGCAGCCGGCTTTCCTGTAAATTAGAACACGCTAAGTGCGACTGCAGGAAAGCTCTCATAGGTTGAGAAAAAGAAGTGAGAATGTCACGACATCTATCATTGGCTACCCACTATTGGCCTGTTCTAATAACACCCTTGGCTGCGGACAAATACACCTTGCATGTGCAATTCCATGACTATCAATAATGTAATTATGGTAATTCAATTGCATCCTGAGCTAAAAATAGTAACAGCAACAGTTGTAATGGCCTCACTCAGTATTGACTTCAAGTGAATCAGTATCACAGGGTTCAGGCAGAGACGACAGTTATCAAGCTTCATGACGAATCAACGATAGCTATCCGAGTCCTCGTGGTTTTGGAGTTGGAAAGCCAATATTGTGGAAAGGTCGGAAAGTCACTGGGACACGCCATACATGGACTTGCAAAACCAATAGAATCACGTCCATAAGCCGTAGATCATCCAGAGCAAAGCTTTATGGAATTCATGTTGAACTTCAGATCATACAGGTCAATCCTGAAGTATTGGGCACACACAGTCAGTTATTTCCTAACCGAGTATTTATGAAGCACTGCACAGTTTCGGAAAACTTTAAATTCCTCTATCACTGTCTCGATATGCGTACAGCTCTGCTAAGTCTCCTAGCGGCAAATGCATATTGACATTAAATTTGCACAGCTGGTGAACTTGAAGAATATCCAAAAGTAAGTACCTTAGAATATGACAGTCAAAACAAAACTATAAACAATGTGCATGATATCAGTAAAGACCCTTGTGTTCGCCGTTCTCCTTACCTGACGCTCCCCCCGGATGTCCGCCTGGAGCTCCAGAACTTCCGGAGAAAAAATGAAGCGGAACCAGTATGCAGAGGACCGTCCAACATGTCCGGAGAAGCCTGTCCTTTGAACCAGCGGACATCTTCACTGTTACCGCCCGCCCTCTGATGTTCTCCTCCCGCGTCGTCTCAGCCATGGCCCTCTCGTCACATCTCGCGGAGCTGCACGCCGCAGTCGGCAAGACCGAGCAATGGACCGGGATCTGCAGAAAATGACAGATTTGTTTACGTGCGCAAAAACACATAAAGCGATTCTCTACAATAGTTATTTATTGTCTAACTTTGGACATGTTGGCCTTGCTTCTGGGGACGTTGGCAGTGGGTTGTTACTGGTGCTATATACGGTGGTGCATGATATATCTGTTTTTGTAGTCTACATCGTTCGGTTATACTCCAAAGAGTCCCGTTACCACAGGCTGCTACAGGTACGCTACAGTAGCTGTACTGTGACTGTTATCTTTCCTCTACACACCACTATATCCCCAGGCTATTCTCTGGATATGGAAATCACTAGAATCTACAACATAATAAACAACAACGACAGAAGCCAAGTCCGTAACAAGGACGCATAGTGATGAATAGTCTTCCAACGCAAACTTCGGTAACAAGAATATAGTGGAGACGTGGAAAGCTACAAATTACAGCTACATCCGTCATTCCATTTGGGACATGTCGGAGTCTACAACAGCAGAATACATGAATTCACTTAAACTTCGTCTGAAAGTAAATACCTGCTATGGAATATATGCACAGACACGTGAGGCCCATGGGCACTTTCCTCACGATCGCGACTAAGTAGATTATACCTTCGAGCTGCATTTCCTTCAGAACGCAAATATATAATAAGCCCTCGGGCGCGAGTTTGGAAATGAAATAAAATTGCAACTTTGTAAATTGTACCATGGATATGTACTTCGCGCTGAGCAAGTCACTTTGAGTATTGCCCTCTCCATGTAAAACGTGAGAGAATGTTTTAAAAGTCTATCAGGGTAGATCTGACCCTAGATGTGGATATAGTTTACATTTGCCCCATAGGTTAAGCCCCAAACGTCTGTGATTTAAATGTGGTAATTAGGAGGCAGGTGGTTCGCGTGCTTCAACCTTTCAAATAGACATTACAAAGTCAGTGTCGGTACTACATATTCCTGTCGTGTGCTCAAAGAGAATCATATCACATGGCTACTGGGCGCCACGAACTACCAAAGACTTTCAACTAGTCATGACCTTGAACCCTGTGGAAAAACATTTCTGAAGGTCGAAAATAGGATTTTAAACATTATGTGGATAGTATGTGGCATGCATGTGAGGGTCCACACAATGTCCTGGCCCAGGAAACTGAGAAGCTGGATAAATACCACACATGAATAAGTCAACATGTTTGGTTAAATCTGCCATCGACCGATGTATTCATGCTGACGGCATTCCCTTGATAGAGGGCAACTGTAAACCTTAATGTTCCCATATTTTTATTCTAGGAAGGTTAAAGCCAGAAAAGAAAATGTCAAGCTTTCTATCAAAAATAGCACTGGAAGGTGCCATACTTTTGAACGTAAGAAAGGTGCAATACATATAAACCGATCCATACATCTTAAATGTTAGTTTTTCGTTAGTTTTGCATACAGTTTAGTCTGAAAGGTCTCAGTGTGGTCAAAGTTAATCCCTCCTATATTGATATGGATCGGATTGGCTACCATGCATGTCAGAAGTCAAAGGCCAGAAGTTGTGATTGATTTGAGGCTGCATGACGCACCTCTCACCACCACGCCTTTGACATGTACTGACGAGATGCAGCACAGTTCACGGTCAGCGTGATGGGGAGACGTGTGCATTTACCCCAGCAGGGCGCTCAAGGCCTTTACTTCTACCAATCATGGAAACCCTACACTACACGCGTGCTGAGGACAAGCATTGTGTGAAGCCCAGAAGTTAATGACAGCAGAATCGAATCACACTTCATTTCAGGATATTGATTATACTTGCTCTATTTAATTGTAGCACCTGAAGCACGAGACGTGAAGCTGTACCTCTCATGAATGTCTGAGAGGTCAAACATACAACATGCTGATCCTCTGTTGCATGGCAGGATCAACCTGTCAAATTTTAGGAGATTTGGAAACGACGACGGTTCATTTCAACAGGCCATCTGAATTACAAATGCCTGCCACGGATTGAATTGTTATTATACGTTTCAGGCTGCATTGAAAACATACTTCTCGCCGGAGGCCCGTCTCTTAACAAATGCATTTTCAATTACTGCGACAACTCTTTTATCATACATGCTTCATTGTGAGCGTTTACGAGGGCGGACCGAGACATTTCAATGTCAGGTACAGAAAAGTAATGGCAGGTTGCCAGACAATGGGAGCTCTCTGTGGGCATACTCAATCTCACGAGTTCAACTTGATCTAAATGAACGTCATTCGTCAACGTCTATAAGTCTCCTTCTGATGCCCATAAAAGTAAGACCAGTTGTTAGTCAAGGTAGATTGCTGGACTTATTTTAGGAGTGACATGGACCATAAAGCCGCTCACTCTCCCGCCTGTTGGCAGCTCTCCGAGTTTGCTGCAGTAAGGACAGAAGGAAGGTAACAAAACTGACATGATAATGACATGATGGATGCCCGTGAAGTCGACCTCCTGCTCTTCATGTGAGAGTTTTTGTTGGAATGATTTCAGAATTTACTGGGTCGATGATGGGAACAATGAACCCTATCTCTCCGCTAGATCCCAGGCTACAGGCAGGTTTAAGTACCATAAAGGTACAAATGAATAAACATAATCGTTTTGCGTAGCCGCCAGCCTTTATACGCCATAACTTATCCAAGGCTCTGCCGTTGATTACATATGCCCGATGCAGCTATATCAAATGTATCCGAAAGAAGACAAGTAGTTAAGTAAAGATACGTTAAAGATTTGATTGTACACTGCGGGGTAGTTTAAAAAGGACTGCGATTTCCTTGTGTTTCTAGATCGATTTTGATTCATGAGCTCCATTATAAAAAGGCAGCATTATAACGGAAAGCTTTGCTATACTCAACTGGTTATGAAAGTATTTTTAATTTCATTTCAGGGTTGGTGACAACATTTATTAATTCAACACAAATGACTGGAAAATTGTCTGTACAGCCCAGGGAGTAGACTAATTCGTCATGCATGGGGTTTTGACAAGGCAATCAGAACTGAGAAGTTTAGCGGAGAGGTTCGGTATGTATTGTGCACGGTCAGGGCATTTATATGCTGGAAGCCAATTTTCTACTCGGGCCATTCTCGTCATTTGCCGGCAGACAGTATTATCCAAAGTGTTCCAAATGGACCATAAAAGCCCGGTGGGTTAATCAAGACTTGTCGACGTGACGCCGACATTTGATGTCAGGACAAAGGTTACGGTGCGCTGGTTGGCTGACCTCTTTTTTTTCTTCTCGGAATGAAATATCCACTGTGGACCTCGACTGTAATCAAGGCCCAATCAGAAATCTATACTTAGTTAAGCCAGAAGTCCAGGGAGTAAACATCACTGTCAAGTATGAAGGCGCTGCGCCTTTAAGCTCCCATTGGTTGATAATAAGACGGATAATTTGGCATTTCAAGGCCTGAAGAAGGGACCTACATGTACGGCGAGTCGACTGATGGATGAATCAATAATCGCAGGTGTTGTAATTTTCTCGGAAAAGGGGAAGGTCGTCCAATTTTTTCTGGCCGTAGGTACATAACTCAGTAACGACCGTGCAATGGCTCGCTATGAGAAACCATGGTGCGGGTTCAAAGCGCCGCTAACGTCTGTCAACATATCTCTAACTTGCAGCTTCTCAAACCCACTAAAGCATCAGTCATGATGATTTGAAATATGTCGGTCCATCGGCCAATGCACGTTAGATACTTTCAACTACTTCAAGACTAATGCTGTGCTGGTAAAACTCAGGTTCATTAGGTTGAAACCATTGCTATTTCAAATATTGGAAGGATAACAAGGCAGCGGGTGGACCGCCGATTCTCCTCTAGCTCTGCTGCAGCAGCTTTTGCTATCAACGCCGAGGATCAGGAAACCGACTTAATTAACTGTTCACGTTGGATAATCAACCTCCAAGGCGGTCAACAGAAGTGTCGATGTCTGCTAGTGCTGCTTATGAAGTCTTCAAGCCTCATCTTTTGCCATTCAATGTAAACGCATAATTATAACACTTTGAATAGTAATTACGTATAATTGTATGATCTTCTGGCAATTGCATTAGGGTCCTACATACTGAACCATTTCGGTAATTGATTCTATTAAAAATTTTACATACTTAACAACGGGGCAGGCAAACTCAGAAAGGGAATGATAGATTTATTCATTTGTCATCCGGCAACTAGAATGAACTACAACTGTGGACAGTGAGGCATGGCAGTGAACTGTCTGCACTTAAACCCCCTCAGGCCTAGTCATCACCGGTTGCACTCTGTCTGGATTCCTCGTGATCCTGACATTAGAGAGTTAGTCTAACAGCATGTGATACGTCATGTGAGTAGTTTTCTAGTAGTTAGTGACCGCAAGGTTAAAAGCAACGTTAAGTGTTTGGTAACTGATGTCCGTCTGGAATCCTGATTATACCTTTATCTTCAGAGCAAATGCAATGAGCTTGTTGTAATGCCCTGCAATTAGCGTCGATGAGATTAGACTTTTGACTCAGACTTTTAACAACATAGTGCCAGAGATTAACATTCCGTGTGTGTCTGTCTGAAACAAAGTTTGCCGTTTTCTGAGTATGATAATCGGTAGTGTGGAACACATTTGTCAGAAACGGCTTTAGAAGTTGAGCTCCACAATCCAATTGTCATGGTACGTAGGTTTAATATGAATTGATCCCGGCACCGGTGACGCAGGAAAAGTTGCTCTGCGTCTACTTTCTTTCTTGGGTGGCTGAAAATGTAAAATTCGCCTGTAATGTCACCACAGTACAGCAGTTCTGGATAATATAATAGTTCCAAACCCTTTCTGTCAATTACTATTAATACTTGTCAACATGGCAGATATGAACAGGTGAAGTTGCCTGTTTCAGTGATATGTTAATTAGAACATACAGTGCAGTTACCAACCCGCTAGCTGAATTAGGG